TTTTCGTACGTGAAAGTACGCCATAAATAAATAGATGGAAGCTCGGAAATGAGATTTACATCCCGCATTTTCGTATGTTAAAGTTTCGTCGTAAGTTAATCGACGTAAGTTCGAGAATGAGATTATTTTGAGATTACATATGCTATTTCAAACAAGTGATGAGTAAATTCGTGAAGGTGAGGGGGTAAGCAAAAATCGAAGAAAATAAATTTTTGTCGAAGTTTGACATTTTGAGATAAAATACGGCCCAAGCTAAAATACTCGATATTTATGGACTAATACCATACATGGTACCACATGACCATGATAGTAAAGTGTATAAAGTATGATAAAAGTAAATAGTATTTTAAGTAATTTGAGATAATTCTCAATTATGTGGATATTTGGTTAATTATAAATTTTTGGTGAAAGATTAATCATGTAATTAAGGAATAAATGGATAATATTTTGGATAAACTTTATAAAAAATGAACGTGGCAGCAACCTAACAGACCTAAGTGACTCTTCAAATAACTTGATATTGTGTCAATCTTAAAGGATTAGTCATCAATTGAGTGGGGCCCACACCTACTAAGGTATAAGATTCTAGTTCATTAAGAGATGGATAATCTTAAAAATTCAGCAAGGTATACAATTCTCTAATTCATCCAACGGGTATAAAATTCAGCAAGGTAACCATTCTGCTAAAAATATTCTATACAAAACTATATTACGTAATAGCAATGGAATTTTGTGATTTTAAGGAAGTACGGTGTAATCTTTCCCAAGAATACTATATGAATTTTCCTCTACTTCGATCCGTCGTTATGTGTTGTTGCAATTGACGTGTGTTAGAGGGATTGTCAAGAGAATTGACTCGGGTATGTTAAGGCTATCCCTTCTTTCTTTTTGGCATGATCTATACGACACAAGCGAAACGAGCAAATGCACAACTTCCATAAATTACTCTATTCGTAGAAATACTAGAGATGTGTATATTCTTATTCTCCCACGTGTCATATTATTCTATCATCTGTTCATGGGTCTCAAAAATACGTAAGTTGGTAAAGTTTATTTCATGATATTAATCAGAGGCATAATTTTCTTATGACGTACCGAGAGATTTTACTAACGTATTTCATATGCATTTCATGCATTTATACATGCACATTGACCCATGACCAGATGGCATTATATACGCATATATATGTATGTATATATGTATATGGGATATGCAAAAGGTTACGACGTTATATACGCACCAGCACTTGATCAGTTGGTATACGTTGATGATTTGCCCACAGTGGCCGAGATGATATGATGGGATGCCCTCAGAGGCTTGATGGTGTTATGAACATATGTACCTATGCACGACATGACATTTATATGCATATGCATGGCATTATACATATTAATGATTCACAGAGTCATTCAGATTTACATGTCGAGTCTTTTACTCCATATTTCTCTCATGTCCATTATTTACTAATTTTCGTTCCTTACATACTCGGTACATTATTTGTATTGACGTCTCTTTTGCCTGGGGGCGCTGCGTTTCATGCCCGCAGGTCCCGATAGACAGGTCGAGAGCCCTTCAAGTAGGCTATCAGCTCAGTGGAAGATGTTGGCGCGCTCCATTTGCTTCGGAGTTACTTGTTTGGTTAGTATGATTTAGATGTGTATTGTTTGATATGGCGGGACTCTGTCCCGACATTTATGAAAATTTTGTATTCTTAGAGGCTTGTAGACAGATGTCATGTACGTAAAAGATTGTATGGCCTTGTCGGCCTATGTTCAGTGTACGAGTGGTTATTTTGGCCTTATAGGCCGTATGCCTTATGTATAAGTTGGTATCACATGTTGTTCTACTTATCTCACGGCAGCCTTCCGGCTCAGTTATCTATGATAGTATGACATGAAAAGATACGTTATGTTGGTACTCGGTTGAGTAAGGTACCGGGTGCCCGTCGCGGCCCATCCAGGCTCGGGGCGTGACATATTCTTTAGCTTTAAGGGACTTTAAGGATAATTTTACCTTTAACCATACTAATGCATACATTAATAGCCTTGGTATTGCCAATATCATAGTTTGCTATGTATTAGTAGTTAATACATAGGATAACACCAAATAAGTTGTATAACAAATACTTGCATTAGTAATATATAAGTTGAAAAAATGTACCAAATAAGGGATTAGTAATATCAAAATCTAATACATACTTATTTTCTCCAATACATCCTTGTAACACCTCAGACTTTAGACAGAGTATTATATCGGCAAAACACAAGAGAGATTTTGGGTATATAAGTTAACAAGCACTAGACCCTAGTAACGCGTTTTAAACCCGTGAGGACCTAAGCCCACAACGGACAATATCACTAGTGAGCTGGGCTCTTACAACCTACAAGACGACCTCTAAGAGTTTTGAATCGAAGAATTAAACTAAACTTATTTTTTGGGGAAACTTACACAAATGTCCCAAATAAATCTCAACTTACCAACCTCTAGCCATTAGTCATAGACTTACCAAAACTAGCCAACAAAAATTAAAAAACCAAATAATAGGGTTCTTTCTCTCAAAGAATCACATGCAAAAATCACCTTTCATATTTTTAAGCGTGATTAGAAACATTAGATACAAGACGGAAAGGAAATTTCATGGACGGGGTAGCAAATAAGGTGATGAAATACAAAAATATATACAATATTCCAAAAATCTAAACAAAAAAGGAATTTTTTCAATGGGTATAGTTGAAATTCATTGAAAATATATAGATAAGTCAATATACAAAATTTGAGGAAGATTGGAGGTGATTTGGACTGGTTTTGTATCAAAATTCGTAATTAAATCGAGTTCAAAAAAGTCTTCTGCGACACATGTATCAAACATGTATCACGCATGTATCATACACACAGGTATATATGGATATACATGTGATACACAATTTATACAAATATGATACATATGTGATACACAAATGATACACAATGTGATACACATATTATTTTTTTATGTTCAACTTTTACTTCGAATTTTCAATTCAAACCACCTCAAAACTTCACCAAATCATCCCAAAACTGAGATTCAAGCTCCTTAAGTTGTGCCCAATCTATTGTAATAACACCCACTCAAAACAAAGCAAAAATCTGATATTTTTTTGCTACAAATAGCTAATTGGCTAATTTGGCTAATATTAGTAATATTTTGTCAATTGGCTAATTTTTGTAATAAGCTACTTATAAATGGACATAGCTGGTAATTTCCCTATTTTTTATGCAAAACTGTGAATCAATTGGGGTTTCCTATCATCATTAAAGGGTCGCTTTGAAATAAGGCTGCTAGGTGTCTACCTTGTAGGCCTTTAGCATAAAGATGCGAGATACTATCATTAATTTCGCCGTCATTGGTCTTGAAAAGATAAGGTGACATAATTTCGCCCTAAGTAGAGACTTTATGAAGTGAAGGTTTTCCTCAAAATCATGCAAGATTTATGAAACAAGTGAAAGCATTGCTTTGTTGGTCTTCTTTTATATATAAGGCTGCTCTTACTGATTCACGATGTGTAGCACCAAGTAGCTAGAGGACAGAAGGAAACTGTTCTTTCCAACACAAGGTGGTTTTTGGGACTGATCTTTGCTGCTGAATCATTGGTGCATGAGCATGTCAAAGCAGACAGATGAATAAGACCTTCGGACATGTTCTTGCTCCAATGATACAGGAGCTGAGCTCGGTTTTCGCCTCCTTTTTTTGGACTGAAGGGTTTCCTTATTATTCCTCTGCCATCCTGTACACTATCACCATTAACCTATGTTGTTCCGACTTTCAAAAATAGTGCTTATTCGTGTTGGATCCTCCAAAATATGCTGCTCTTGGAGGATCCAACGTGTACGAGTTGATGGTCATGCAAGATGTAACCATGTTCAATCATTCATCCGATCGATGAATGATTGATCAAATCCCAAAGGGCTTGTGCGATGCTGGAAACAATGTAACCAGTAAACAGTGGCTGGCTGAGGCAGAATTTTTCTTAAGGCGGTTAAAAAAAGAAAAAAGTTAAAAAAGAGTGTAACTAGTGAGCATTGAACCAATGACCTTACAAAGGTTTTGAACACCATTGACTACTAAGCTATTGTTTTGGACTTTGTCAAGGAGATTCAAAACAAAATATATAAAAATAAAAAAACAGAATTTGCCTTATATATACAGTGTAATTTTCGGTGAAAGAGGTTCGGGTGAACCCCTCCGCCCCTAACTCCGCCTCTCCAAGTAAATGAGTCCTTTGGTTGATATCAATGTACTTATTATAACGTTGGTGATGTCACTCTCATTCCTATAGATCAAACATTTCACTTTTTTGTTGCCTGTTATGTTTTATATCTATTTCACATTTATGCAATACTTAGGTAATCTTCCATTCAATCTTCTTTTAGACATCTACGTTTTCTTATGTTGAAATTTTCATAAATGCACTCCATTGCTTTAGCACTTTTATGTTATCAATAAGTTGATAGCTCTTACAACCCAAAGTTTTCATTTTCGCAGTTGTTCCTATATCCTAATTACTAGTATTCGATATTTCAAAAGTTGGTATTTTTACCTGCAAATTTTGTTCCAATAAACTTGTGACTGTGCTATGTTTTTATTTTTTGGCTGTATTGTTATATTATTTTCATGGCAGCTTAGATGTTAAATGTAAATACCAATCTTTATCCTGTACGCATCAAGCAATTGTGTTTTTTTGGGGGGCAGAATATATTAAATCACTAAAATCCCACAAAACTTCTTTTCAAGTTTATGAAGATCAATCTTTATTAACATCCAGTAGCCAGATTCTTTTTTCGTTGGCGGATTTTTCCTTGGAAAAAAGTCAAGTGAAAAATATATAAGACGTATCAGTACATAAATACACAAGTAAAATGATGTTAAAACTTTCAAGTAATCGTTCCTTTAATGGCACAGAAGAATGATTAGAAAAGCTCTAGACAATACTACATACATGAGAAAAAAGGACAACTAAGCTAGAGGGTCTAAACCATTAATTCAGCTGATGAAACAATCAGGTTGTATAAGAAATTAATACTAAGCAGCATACAGATTACAGTGGGTACTTAGAAAGAATGAAATTTCACTAGAAAAACCTTCAGCTTCCTTATTTTTTCTTTTCCCTTACAGAAACTAACAAAGAGTTAATATAATCTATTACATCCATGCCTGGGCTGAAGCTAACATAAAAGTACAACAATGCTCCTACACTATGAAGTCGGTGTGCTTGCATATAACAAGGTGAAGAACATTTCTACTTCTGGCATGTCTTGGACAACTTGGATATACCTGTTCCGATTGGATTCTTCAAGCAGGATACGACTCATATGAGCGAGTCGTGGTAGAAGTTTAGCTAATGGAATGCCTAATTTTAAATTGGTTTCCCCGCACAGGACAGTCACGTCTTCCATCATCACATCCACTGCCGTTTTAAGTGACAAGTCCAGAATATTCTCAAATTCAGAGCTGCCCAACAAAAGGATAAGCAATCAACTAAAAAATTTGACAAAGCGAATTAACATGAGAAACAAATACTTGAATTTGTCAATATTTTAAACTGGCAGGCATAATGAAGACATTTTGCTTGATCTGATGCATTAAATTCTAAACTTATCCTAGAAGGAACACAGCAGATAGCTCCATTTTTCCTCTTTATTTTTTTCTTTTTGGTTTGTGGGTGGGGAATTCAGTACCTTTCCTTGTGCTCAAAGCAGCATAAAAAGGTGCAAATCTTACAAGCAGACCTATCCATTTGTGTGACATCGACCAAATTTTGACTAATGTGGAAGCATTTCCGCTATGTGCTCAACAAAAGATGTCAAAAATTTGCTTTTCCGCATAATATCGAGAAAATCTCAATGTTCATATGATGTTTTCTTCACATTCTGGACAAAAAATTCCCCTAGTGCCTTAACCATTCAGTGATGAACTTGGTATACCAAGCTGAATCTTGTCTTGCAACACAATGGGAAAAATAAACAAAAGTACCTTGACAAAACGGCCCGTGCCTCCAGCATAAGTTGTTCGAATTTTGATGAAGGAGAAGGTTCTGTATTACCACTACTAGAGGTTGCTGCAGAGTTATATAGTTTAAAGTGCTCTGGCATCAAAAAGCCCAGCCAGTGATGAGGGCTTCCCATGCTCATGAAGGTGTCCAATATCCGCAGAACAGTATCATGCAGTAAAGTTGTGTTGAAGAAATCCTTCAACTGTTTTCTGCAAACCAGAAGTTCAGAAATTTTCAAAAGACCCATTTTGGCAAGGCATAGCTATTTCAAATACAAAGGAAGTATATTACACACAACTACACAATCCCATTGTTCGAGAAGGGTCAATCGTCTGCCTTTCATCCACCAAAATGTTTAACTCCAGGAGGACAATGTTCCAACACATCATACCTTCTAAATAGCATGTATGTTTGTACCACGAGCATCGATTTAGAGACATTTTCTTAGTGAACCCCCACTGGTCCTATATTATCCTTCAGTATATCCATTTAATCACCTACAATCGCATGGGTACGGCTTCTTTGTCCCTGGGTCTTTACATACATACAGGATAAAGGTTTTTTAAACCCCGTCGACCGACGGGATGATGTGGCCCTTTTCATTGGCCACTGGATGAGGAGTTCGGAAGAGGATAATCACAATTTGATAACTCAAACGACTCCATACTCAATGGCTAGTGCTCTTATATTTATTGGCTTCCACTAAACATCCTTTATAGGCAACTACTTTAAAAAGAAAAAAAGTGGTGCATCTAACTTCTAAAAGAATATGGTAAAATATAGAATAGGAAACATAAAACAGAAGAATAACACACAAGTAATCTCATCTACTTCTTGCACATAGATATACAGGAGTTAGCGGAACCTGGCACTTATCAGATGCTGACTGTTGATCTGTTATTCAGTATGTGTCCCTCCCTGACTCCCTCCCTCTCTGTGTGTGTGCGCGTGCTCGCGCATGAGCGCATGTCTGCACATTCATTTAAATTCAAAAAGAACTGGGACGTGGTCTGACGGGAAGTCTACGCATTTAAACACATGGGTTTGATTCTTCAAGCTCTCATAAGCATTCTGGAGTAGAGCTTTTTCATTCCAACTCTTCCGCTTCCTTTCTTCCACAAACCCCAATATCATTCCTTTCTCCCTTGCCATGTCTGTTTTTCATTTTCTCCCTTATCTTATCATTGTTGCCAGACTACAATAGTTACACATTAATGCTGCAGAAGTCCAATCCATATCTCCACCTTGATGCCCTCCACGTAATAGATGCGGGCAGTGGCGGATCTACATGGTTCTTTGTGGGTGCTCAAGCACCCATTACCTTTGACAAGATCTAGTAAATTTGCATAGGCAATTATAAAAATATTTAGATAAATATTGAGGGAGCACCCATAACTAAACTCCTTTTTTCTCTTCTTTAGAATTTTTATCGGTGAGCACCCACGACTTTAAAATCCTGGATCCGCCACTGGATGCGGGAAGCGAGGCTCAGATGGTTCGGGCACGTGCAGAGGAGAAGCTTGGATGCCCTAATAAGGAGGTGCGAGCGGTTGGCGTTGGTGGGTACGAGGAGAGGTAGAGGGCGGCCTAAGAAGTATTGGGGAGAGGTGATCAGGCGGGATATGGCGAGGCTTCAGATCTCCGAGGACATGGCACTCGATAGGAAGCTATGGAGGTCAAGCATTAAGATTGTAGGTTAGGAGGTAATTGAGCATATTTAGTCTGCCAGTGTAGGCTGATAGGATTTAGTCTTAGACTGCTAGTGGTCAATGTTGTGTTTACACTACTCTTCTGTTTTCATAGTGTCATGCCTTATTTACTGGTTATTATTTCTGTTTTCCATCTGTTTACTGGTTTTATGTTGATGGTACTGATGTATTGTCTCTTTTCGTCTTCTTGAGCCGAGGGTCTAAAGAAAACAGCCTCTCTACCCCTCGGAGCAGAGGTAAGGTGTGCGTACACACTACCCTCCCCAGACCCCACTTGTGCAATTTTACTGGGTTGTTGTCGTTGTTGTTATTGTTGATGCCCTCCACGTTATCTCCCTCCAGGAGCTATTCACAGATGTGTATCACTGCAAATATTGAGCTTCTATTTTTTCCAACCTCTTGCATCATGCTCATCTTGATTTTATTCTCATCAGAAACCAATTATCATAATAATATCTAGTGTCAGTGAATTATCCGCAACAGATGAACCTTAAAGTATGGTTACACAGTGATGGGAAAAGGAAAAAGGTAAGCTAGAAATACAAGGACAGTGGCGTAGGTCTTGAACACCTTGAACCTTTACGTAAACTTCATAATATAGGTTAACACTGATTAGCATTTCTTTGCAACTGAAGACAGAAAATTTTGTCTTTTGACATAAGAGGGAAAAGGGCAGCCCGGTGCACTAAGCTCCAACTATGCGCCGGGTCCGGGGAAGGGCCGGACCACAAGTCTATTGTACTCAGCCTTACCCTGCATTTGTACAGGAGGCTGTTTCCACAGCTTGGACCCGTGACCTCCCGGTCACATGGCAGCAACTTTACCAGTTACGCCAAGGCTCCCCTTCAACAGAAAAACAAAAAAAAAAAAAGAATTTAAGGAATCTCACCATTAATTCATAAGTCCATCAGTCAGTTCGAAGGACCGAATGCCAAAAATTAGTTAGTTACTGACTGAAAATAAAATGGAAGCACTGAGCAACCCACTAACTCTAGATGCATATTTGAACTTCCGAGTGGTGAAGAACAAAGTAAGGAGCCTACCCTTTTAGAACTTCAGATGCTGCAGTTTCAAAACTTGAAATCAAGGCAGGAAGGCCAACATTAGTAAGATAGTCTGCACTGGCTAGAAACTGCTGCTCGTCATCTCTGTCAATTAGATCAGCTTCATCCTAGAATAACAAAAAGAAAATGCTATTCCAATAAGTAAAAGAACTACCGGAAATACTATCAGTTGCACCTCAACAAGCGAAAAAACTGAGAGCTAAAAGATTACCGTCAATTGGATCAGCATTAACATAGAGTAAATAAAGAATGCACTTGAAACAAGCAACTACAAAGTAGGGTATACTATAAAACAAGCCACTCTTATTATCCCTTTTCAATTACAATAAAGGGTTGAACTTTCATTTTGACTTTCTACCTCTTATAGAATCCGATTCTCATATTTTCGCTTGAATACCCTACACCAAAACAGAGGGACAACGGCTGTGGGAATTAGCCAATTTTTTTGATCGGTAAACTAGACAATTTTAGATGTTGAAATTTTTTTATATACTTCCTTTATCTGAATAAATGATAAGCAGAGTAATGAAGTTATCTAGAGAAACGTGATTTGTCAAGAGCATCCAGAAAATGCAACCCAGACTACACACGTTGTGTACCGGAAACAAAAAACTCAATACGATACTAGAAGACTCGATAAGTTCTAACCATATCGACTACACAACAAAGACTAAAATTCCATCTCATTACAGACACTCCGCAAGTTCCTTCCCATGTATAGACTCACAATATTCCTGCTCTGTCATTTGTTGTGAAAATCAACTCCAAATTTTAATCTCCTTAGTTCCTGTTTCGTATTTGCTTCAGTTTGTTCCAATATCATTGTTTTCTTGCCAGATGTTCCAGTTCTCCTCAATATGTTCATACACAGGTGCATGATACAAAGCTCTAGTGGATAGCTCGGGCTCTAATTTTCTCAAGTTCAAACCAGCTGCAAAGAATACTTTAGCTGAGCTCAATCTTTTAGATGCTGAGCAAGGCAGGCTTACGAGCCTAGCCAAGCTTACAAATATTTTTTCAATTAACGTTCAGTCATGACTCAAAACTTACTGGGTCCAAAAATTAAAAGAGACATTTGAGTCTTCTTTTTGAGAAAAAGAGAAAGACTCAAGTTTTCATTAATAGGTAGAAAGGACTTTTTTTGCGTACTGCTTATGACACATATTTTAAGAGGCCCAAACTTTTCTTATTTACACAAAGCCCCCTACTCCTCCTCCTCCTCCAAACAACTAGTGGATATCTAAACATCTATGTCTCAAACATCCCGGAGACTGGGACGTTCTTAACAATCTCAGTTCCTGTTCCTGTTTAAACATCTTTCCAAGAGTCTGATGCAGTCATTACAGCAGCTCCAAATTTTCAATTTATAAAATATGGACAATTATTTCATCTTATCGACCTGCTGACCTATTCATTGCCCCACAGACGCAGTATGCAATCAACAACCACATAGCTGTGGAAAATCATAACCATCCGAAGGCAAGACTTTTTAAGACATTGCAGATATAACAATCAATATAAACATATTGCAAGGTAGAATCGTAGTCATGGACAAGGAAAAAGAAGCGGTTCTTACAAGTTGACAAGAGGTTCCAAGGCCACGTGCAGTATCGATATACAGATGTCTCCCTAATATGTTGACTTGAACTCTAATATACAAGCTTAGCACTGTGGTGGCCCAAAGAGACAACAAAATTCTGGTAAACGCTGGAAGAGCACAAAATACAACATTATAAGCCAACTATTGTACATAAAATTCAACACAAACTATATGTGTGCACATGTCCATACTTAAAATTTTGAGTCTCTCCCACAGCTCAAGCTTCTCTACAGCTGTTAGAGTATTTGGCTGGTCTTTTCCTTTCATCAACCTCTCCGTCAAGAGAGCAAGGTCCAATTCTTCTTCTATTCGATTTCTTAAATTCCGCATTACATGAGGCAATGTTGTTGAATCGGCAATTCCTTGAATGTTCTCGAAATGTGCCTTAACCCTATGGAGGAGACAAATTAACTCTGAGCATAATATAGCTCTAAGACTACATAGTACACCAAACAAAATGAAAAGGAGACAGTGTACCTTCCTTTTCAGGAAAAAAATAAACGATCAAAAAGAGAAAATCTTAACTGGGATCTAATGAGTTCCTCATTTCTTCTTTCATCCGCAAGTTCCCTCTCAAGATCAGAGAGACGTCGCCTGTGTCCGTCATAAAGCTTGTACAAAAGGTACCCACTTCCAACAACTCCAAGTGTAACATATACCTTCCTCTTATGCCTTCTCCAAAACTCCCTATTCCAATAAAACCAGTGTCAAATATAAAATCTTGATACACCAATACAATAGTTTTTTTTCTCTTTTAATCAATTGCCTAACCCTTAAGATTCTGAGCTACTTCTACACCTCTCTGTGAAAACCCAATTTGCAATTACAACATATATACGTATTTCTTAAAAAGCATCAGTTAAATGGGTCAAAAGGAAGGAGTCTTAAACTGCCACAAAGCAAAAGATAAAACATAAACTTGAATATCACTGCACGGATAATAACATAAATTATATTCATATGAAATTACAGAAAGGGAAGGATAGAATTAACGAACCACATCCAATCGAAGTACTAGTAGCCCAGGTTAATCCTTCACCGGCCTTGATTGTGGGCCGGAATTTTAATCTACTGTTCCTGCTGCTACTTTGTCCAAGAATGGCGTTGGAGAAGTGAAGCCTACTTCCCACTTCGATACCTCGTTTGGCTCAATATTGTCAAAAGTAGATGTGTTTGTTTATTTTAACAATTTAATTAAATTTAACCCATCTTTTTTAAATCCGAAACATATACCCCTCTAGTATCGAAAATTATCTAAACTTACCAAACATTTTGCTATTTTATCATTTTAGACCCAACCGTTATACTATTACTATGGAATATGTATCAAATTTACTTTTATTTTTAATAGTCACGGGGCAACTCCTTATTAAAAGATTCAATCCAAATTTGATCTGCCCAGTTCACCTACCCATAATCCGGCCCATTACCCGAAGGCAAAGAGAGAGAGAGAATGCAAAAATCTGAAAAACAACCAGCATTGTTTCTATCAATATTAATTTTTGCTCAAAATTTACAACCCAACTTCTTTGAATCTTAACCAAATTTGTTATAATTTGAGATTTAAGCTCCTAAAAGATTCCCAAAAAAACTCAATAACACCCACAAGAAATAGTTTACATTTTCGAAAAGGAAATTACCAGCTATGTCCATTTATAAGTAGCTCATTATAAAAATTGACCAATTGATAAAATATTACTAATATTAGCCAAATTAGCCAATTAGCTATTTGTAGCAAAAAATATCAAATTTTTGCTTTGTTTTGAGTGGGTGTTATTAGAATAGATTGGGCACAACTTAAGGAGCTTGAATCTAAGTTTTGAGATGATTTGGTGAAGTTTTGAGGTGGTTTGAATTGAAAATTCGAAGTAAAAGCTGAACATGAAAAAAAAATGATATATGTATTACACTGTGTATTATTTGTGTATCACATATGTATCATATTTGTATTATTGAGTTTTGAACTCGATTTAATTACGAATTTTGATACAAAACCAGTCCAAATCACCTCCAATCTTCCTCAAATTTTGTATATTGACTTATCTATATATTTTCAATGAATTTCAACTATACCCATTGAAAAAGTTCCTTTTTTGTTTAGATTTTTGGAATATTGTATAGATTTTTGTATTTCATCACCTTATTTGCTACTCCGTCCATGAAATTTCCTTTCCGTCTTGTATCTAATGTTGCTAGTCACGCTTAAAAATATGGAAGGTGATTTTTGCATGTGATTCTTTGAGAGAAAGAACCCTATTATTTGGTATTTCAATTTTTGTTGGCTAGTTTTGGTAAGTCTATGACTAATGACTAGAGGTTGGTAAGTTGAGATTTATTTGGGACATTTGTGTAAGTTTCCCTTTTCGAAAACCCAATTTCCGTGCTAAGTTTCAAAGCTTTCTTCAGTAGAGTTTTAGCTCTTGCTTCAAGTACCAGCTTTCCAACAATGTTCTAAATAATACTTTCAATAAGAGATGCAGCTCAATTCTTCAAAATATCAGATCCCATGCTCTTTTAGTCAATTGCTCTATTTAATCCAAATTTTAGTATTCATCGGCAACAAGATTCATTCTCGATCTATAATTATTCGAAATATTTTTGAGTTCGTTTATATAGTTGAAAATTCAGATTTTTTGGTGGGTATATTAATAAAGAATGAAGTTAAATCTACAAGGATTGATTGAATAATCACCAATTCGGTATGGGTAATGGGTTTCTGGTCAAAGCATAACAATAGCATCGGCCATAATCAGCTCCATACAATGGTTTCTGGTCAATTTGGATTATGATTTTTTTGTGCATTCGGATTAAAAACATCGTATGACTTATATTGTGTTAAATTCCCAGTTCGACACCCTCGTGCACTGGAGTCTTGATCCACCTCAAAAATTTGCTAAATTCGCAGGTCGTGCTGGAAATCACTTATATTTTAGAAAACAATAGCAGACAAAATAGTAGGGATAAAAACAGTACCAATCAAATAAATTCACCTTCCAGAAGATAAATTTATTCCTCCCAAAAATGTTTCAATGGATAAAATCTATTACACATTTCCAACTTCCAAGTTCTACCAAAGTCTAATTGACACTGCTTTCCTGATATACAGGATTGTTCAAAAGCGTCAACTGGTACTTGGAAACAAGTTGTAAAAGATAATAGAGAACATTAACAAGACAAATGGGAATTGAATTCGGGATAAATATCCAGTAATTTTCATTGCATTACTAGATGCATCTCATGTGTATAATAAAGCATGAAGGGCCCTAACTCACAATGACCTAAATATGTTGTTAGCCTAAAAGACATGGTGATTAAGCAAATACCACCTGATGTGCATCCTAGGAGGAAGAAAAGAGAGCACAGTTCATTTCATAAAAAGTATCCCAACAAAAGTAGGAGTGTAGGACCATGAATTAAATGGTAGAAGCTGAGTTGCAGGTTTCTTATCCATGTGTATCTCCAAACAAATAAAACTATGATCAAAAGAAGTAGACAGAGAGGAACAACATACTAAATACTTTAGTGACCATGCAAAGCAACTTGGATTTATAAGCAACATGATGCTTGTAACAAAATACTAAATAAAATCCCAAAATTGGAATAGCAAAACTCTCAAAACCATGAGAAACAAAGAGAATCCAGATATCCTTCTTCAAACATTTCAAGAGAAATCTAAATGTCTTCAAATGACTATGGCCAAATAATGCAATTCCTAATAACGCCCAATACCCCAAACCCTAATCAAACCGTCTGTATATCCGCTGAAAAGCGTGCTTCCATCAGCACTCCAGCTCAAACAGGTGCAGTACATGATCTGCCAAATGAGATTCAACAATATCAGACAATTCAATCGATAACAGAATATCTCATCACAATATAATTACAAAGTCTGTAACTGCAAGTATACAAAGTTTGTACAAGAATTTAAGTACTACAGAAAGTCTATCTATGCAGCAAACATGCAATTGTTTAATCAATATAACAAAACAACTGACTATAAGTAGTGGATTACGACAACAAACCTAGTGAGTACCCACAAGTGGGTTTTGGGGAGGGTAGCGTGTACACAAACCATACCCCTACCCCACGAGGGCAGAGAGACTATTCCCCGAAAAACCTCAGCTAAAGAGGCAACAGGACCATAAGCAGTGGATTAAATAATATATTCAAATTAACACTTAACAAAACTGAGTAAATGACAAATTGCGGAGATACAAAAGTTTAAAGCCTAAAAAGCTAACGAGAATTTATAAAACAGCAGAACAGAGCGGATAAGGTTTTCAAGGATGCACATTTCCTGATCAAAAGTAAAGCAGTACAGAAACAACAAGCTCATTGCCATGACAGCTTCTGGACAAAATTTCAGTATAAAAATGAAGCATTAACCCAACCATTCAAAAGTTAAAAATTCTCTATCCTATTTCAGAAAAACTAATTCACCCTATACAGCGACCTAATTTTCGATGTTTTATGTATAGACAATTGTTGCCTTAGCCCAGCTAATTTTGAGCAATTGAGACTCAGTTAGAAGTCTGCGTATATACTACAAGCATAAAAAAAGATATATATTCCAAGGCTAAAATCATTCAGAAAATACACAATTATATAGAATAAAAAGAATGTAAATGTTGACCTTGTTTTTGCAGGCAGATCCAGTAGTTCCTTCAGTAGCCATCTCACTCTCTTGCTTGAGATCAACTTTAAGATCCACCACAATGCTCTTGCTCTCCAAATCCCAAATCTTAATGCTAGTTTCAGTAGCTGCGCACAGCCAATACCTGTTAGGACTAAAGCAGAGGGCGTGAATGATAGAGCCAGCATCAAGCGAGTAGAGCTTCTTCCCCTCAGCCAAATCCCAGAGCAAAATAGTACCATCTTTGCCTCCACTAGCACACAATGAACCATCAGGAGAGACTGCCACGGTGTTCACGTAGCCGGCGTGTCCAGCCAGAGTGGACCTCAGCTTACAGTTAGCCAGGTTCCAGATTTTCACAGTACGGTCCCAGGATCCAGAAACGATAGTGGGCTGAAGTGTATTCGGGCTGAAACGAACACATGAAACCCAATCAGAATGCGAGTCACCCTCCTGAATGGTGTATTTGCATTCACCGAGAGTGTTCCACAGCTTGATGGTTTTGTCGCGTGAAGCGGATACGATCTGACGGTTGTCGACAGAGAATGCAACGGACAGAACATCCTTAGTGTGACCGACGAAACGGCGAGCGGTGGTTCCAGCTTGAAGATCCCAAAGGCGAAGCTCACCGTCCCAGGAACCAGAGAGAGCAAACATACCGTCGGAGGAAAGGACGACATCCTGGACGAAGTGGCCGTGGCCAGTGAGACGGCGGCGGGGGACACCGTATTGTGGGCCGTCCTTTGTGAGAGACCAGACGATTAGGGACTTGTCCCTGGAGGAAGTAACGATCATGTCGGAGTTGTCAATTGGGGTGGCGATGGCTGTAACCCAATCGGTGTGGGCTTTCATTGTGCCGCGGAGGACTAGTGATTCTTGTGCCATTTTGTCGAGCAGGTGGTGGGAGGGTGGCTGCTCTCGGTTTCGCTGTGATAAAATGATATGGCAGTGAAGAGAAACCCTAAACTCTCAAGTGCGAATTTATAGGGTGGGTCAATTTTAGGGTTTTTGCGAGAAATGTGTCATGGATTACTGGTCCGAGTTGCTGCTTGGGCAAACGGATCAAGTTTCCTGGGCCTGCTCTGTCTGGATATAGTCCATTTACGTAATGTTGGGCAATTAGCTCTACTGTCTATCTCACTTGTGATGGCTTAGGTGCATTGTGGAAAAAAAGAAAAGGAATTTTCAGAAACCACTGTTGTTTAGTGGCTATTAGCTTCCTATAGCTACCATATACATAATTACTTTCTATAGTTATTATTCAGTTGTTACGGCAGTGTATTCGGTGTATTCGCTACTGTATTCATGAATAAAGCAGCAAAAAACGCCTAAAAATCAAGGCAGTCCAGCTATACGCGCATGTATTCACGCCATGTATTCATGAATACAACAACAAAAAGAGCCTAAAAATCAGGGCCATCTAGTTGTACACGCATGTATTCACATGTATTCACGCTGTTGTATTCATGAATACAGCAGCAAAAAGCGTCTAAAATAAGGGCAGTCCAACTGTACGCGCATGTATTCACATGTATTTGCGCCATATATTCAGTAACGATAATCACCTTAAAAATACGTATGTCCAGCTGTCTAATAACGGAAACACTGTCAATTAGTGTGATACACTCCTAATATAACTCAACAAAATCAAATCTAACACGCCTCAGTATCAACCCAATTAATTAGAATGATTTTTCAATTGTATATAACTTTTGTATTTAGTATTTTTCAATATATATATTTTTTTACTGTTGCATTCATTAGATTCAATGTTTGTATTTACTGTATTCGCTATTTTATATTCAATGTATTCAAATGTATTTGTAACAATAATATTTTAGTTATTCCTAATACATGTTATTACTATTGTATTCAGTATATTTCATGGATTGTATTCAGAGTATTTCTATTTGTATTTAGTGTATTTTACTGTATTTCACTGTATTTTAAATTCTATTATATTTTAATATTTGTATTCAGTATATTTCAATACTTATATCATGTATTCATGCATACGGCATGTAAAGTATGCATGAATACGGGTGTATTCAACTGTATTAAAAGAATACAGACATTCGAAATATATAACAACATGCAAAAATGTATTTATACAAAAATATAATGTATTTGTATCATTGTATGTGACTAAAAAGCAAAGAAGAGAAGAAAGTTCGTCGAAGATGGCGTTTTTCGGTCAAGACTCCTTGTATCGCTTCACTACCTCTTCCATTACAGTTTACAACGCTTCCAATTCGACCGGTTCTTCCTCTTTTCTCTCTTAATTACCGCACTAAGAATCCCTCTCTCTCTTCAATCTATCTGTCGCCTAAGGTATCTCCGCTTCCTTTTTTTTATTATAGGTTTACTTTTATGTTTTGAGATTTTTAGGCTTTCTTTCATGATTTGGTTCTCTTTCATGTATCTATGATTCGCCCTATTTTGCTCTAAGAGAGAGAAGAAAGAGAGAGAGAAAGAAGAAAAATCCTGAGAGAGAATCGTGTGTTAATTGAAAGAAAGAGTGAGGAAAAACATAAATAGCGTATTTTATGTCTCAATTGTAGTATATACTGAAAATATTTATTTTGCTATAAAATATAAAAAGTAGCTATAGAAAATAATATTTTAAAATAATTTTGGTTTATAATAAATAGGGTGTATATCTTTGCCATAGGAGGTAAAATTTCTACAAAAAAGAGGATTTTTTTCACTTTTAGTCCGCGCCTGAAATTATTTATATCTGGTAGCCGAGAAAGTTATATGTTGTTTTGCAACATAGTGAAATTCAAATATATATATATATATATATATATATATATATATATATATATATTCGATTATTATTTTGAGAGTTGCAATACAATGAAATTCAAAAATAGCCAGTTTTAGGAGCGGTCATTCAAAAATAGCCACAGTTTCAAAGTAATCGAATTTTAGTCACTTTTCATGTAAAGATAAATCTGAACGAAAACACTATTCAAAATCCGGAAAATACTCCAACATAAGTATACTGGAACTCCAATATATTATAATGGAGTTCCAGCATAAGTATAGTGGAACTCCAGCATATTATAATGGAGTTCCAGCATAAGTATACTGGAACTCTAGCATAATATACTTGAGTTCCAGTTTAATATACCTGTCCAGTATAATATGCTGGAAGTTCATACACAGGTGCTCCAATCTCCAGTATATTATGCTGGAACTTTCCGCGTGTTGGAGTTCCAGCATAATATCCTGGAAGTTCATACATAGGTGCACCGATCTCTAGTATATTATGCTGGACCGGTCCCTGTTGCAGCAAAATAGTGACTATTTTTCAATGACTTTACAAATAGTGGCTATTTTTGAATAATCAATTCGAAAACTGGCTAACCCGTTTTATTCTTACATTATACGACCATTCCAGCTGGTTTTTCCGTCAGTTTTGAAGAAGTTGACATTTTACGGAAAAAGTGCTATAATTTAACCCCTTTAAATGTTTAATGTACGCAGATTATCTTGTAGGAAGGAAAATAAACTAGTCCCAAAACCAAGGTGCCATTTGGGTTAAATTTCCTGCGATGGTTAAATAATTTCCACCCTTAAATAACTTGAAACACTGGTTAAGAGAATATTTGGAAAGCCATCTTAGAAATAAATTTGGGTATAATTATACAGTTTAGCATGTTTGTTTGGCCAAGTAATTACTTGATCAGCATGGAATTGGGTGTAATTGGAGGGGTGTAATTATACTCTCCAATTCTCAAGGGGAGATGAGAATTGGTGGTAATTACACTGTGTAATTACAAGGCTGCTTTTTAGTTTTTTTCCTTTTGTTTTTATTTTAATTTATTTTCTTTATTACTTTTTATTTCTATTTTTTTAATTTTTTAATTTTATTTTTACTTTTTAATTTCTTTTGAAATTTTAAAATATATTTTTCTATGTACATTATTTATCTTTTATTTCTCTACCTTTACTTCTTGTGATTCCATATAATTGTATTTTATTTATTATTTATTTTATTATTCTATTTTTTGAAACTACATTTCCTAATATTAGATATAATGAGTTATTAACAAACTTGATATATAATGAGTGATGCAATTAAAGTGAATTTCGTTGTTGAATGTGGTTATAAACTTATTATGTTTCCTAATCTTAAGTTGTAGTGGAACTTACTATTATTATGTTGGACTTGACATATGTTACACTTTTTTCTTTGAATTTTAAAATTGTATTATACTCATGGTTCCAATTTACTTGTTTTAGTAGTATTGGCTCACATTATATGTTGTTCATTTTTTAGTTAGAATTGATAGATTAGTTTTGTCAAACATTTGAATAATGTTATGACTTTATATTTATAAATATTACTTTATTTTATCAAACATGAATTCCATGATATTCTTACAAAACATATATTTTTAGTTATTGTAAGTATCTAAACTAAATATTATTAATTTGAAAAATATATATATAAATTATTTTTACAATATTAGTTATAAACATATAATTACTAATAAATGTATATTCACACAAAAATACCAAATATAATATCATTTATACTTATAAAAATTTATAGACATATATTTATTATATTAACTTTTGATAATTACTTTATTTAAAATTTAATCTAATTGTATAATTACACTTGTGCAACCAAACAGTAAACAGGTCGTTGTAGTTACACAATTACCCGTCCAAACTGACCCTAAAAGTTATCCCCAATCGAGAAGTCTTCAAGTCGGGAGTTCTCAATATAAATATAAAGCTTTACCGCCCTGTAGAAAAAGAGGTCTTAATGTTTAGAACTTATACGTATCTCTTTATTAGTCCACTAAAATCTTACTGTTCATTCTTAAATTGCAGTATCTGTTTTACACTTACACACACCTTGCATTCAAAATAAAGGCTGGGTAAAAAGTAAGTCACAAGGCAAAAACTGACTGAGAATTCACATTACCACGTCTTCAGAGCTCTCCCAACAGTATTAGAAAGAATGGCTTTTCAATTTGGAAAAGAAAAACAGTTGAGCAACTTATAACTCATCCGTCAAGCAGGAAGTGAAGAAAATTTTTAAACCGCCTATACAAGTGAATCTCATTATTCTCTCTCCAATTGTCTGAATGTTTGCATACGGGTGCGGTATTGATATACGCATCCGAAACCAGTCGAGATGAAGACAGTAGACCAGCTGGCCTCACCATTGAGCTTGCCTCTGATAATAATGAGCAGCATTTGCTCCTTTTTCTATCTTGTGCTCTCGAGGGGGTCAAATTTATCAACAACTTAACGTGGCCTCCTTTTCACTCTGCCCATAACAAGAGCGAGGGGCATGTCATCCGCTACTTCAGCCCTCGATATCTGATTGGAACTAGTGCATTCTTGGGTCATTGTCTTTTCCACTCCATCATGACCACCAGATATACAAGATCTGCTAGAGTGATCGTCTGCCACATCCTTACTTTGAGCTATGTCTGGACGCAACTTGGCAACCTTAGCAGAAGAAAATGAACGTCTCTTCGCACGCGATTTAAGGATAAAGGAAGCAAGGGTCATGCAGTCATCTGCTGTTTCACGCAGATTAGTTAAGGAAAACCTACCATCGCACTTCAACTGCTTGCATTTATTTAGCTTGTGACAGCCTGAAGCTTTTAACTGTCTTGCATTTTCATCAGTGCAAACAAAAGCATTCTTTTGAAAATATAATGAGGATTCTTGGGGCCCTATTGTAGAAACATTTTCCCAAACACGGTTCTCACCAACATCGAGATCAGCTGTCCCTTTATCCAAGTGTGGACGAGACAATGGAGGACCCTCAGAGTTAACACAGGAATCATCATATCCACTTGTGGAATGAGGTTTATCCATAATATTCATGGTCTTCCCGCTGTCTTGAACATGTGAATCAACCTCTTCAACAACTGTCATTGACGAAGACAGATTTGGCAAAGATGATGAACTTTCTTGTGAGGCAATAGTTCTCTTTTTCTTCACTAGCGAACTGGTTCTCCTCCTATTCTTGCAGATATTGTTAACTGCAGTAGTAGACTCAACCTTACTGGAAGCAGAAGCCTCTGGAACCATATCATTTGGTGCTAATTTTTTAGTCCTTCTAGGATGCAGTTTAGATGGTCTTTTATTCTTTGTTGAATCATGATAACCCTGTTCAAACGCCTCTTCACCATCTGAAATCCTCTCAATCTCCTGGTCTCTAGAAGATAATGAACTGTTGTTTAGAAGATCAGAAGACTCTGGACCTTCACTTTCCTCCAAATGTCGCCTCTCCAATTCACATAATGCATCACACCTAGGAGCCGAATCATCCCTAGCTGCTCTGGGCCTACAAACAGAAACTAAATCAATCAGTAAAAGCAACAAGCAGCTAAAAACACATTCCTTCCATCTAAAGCTGTGTGTCCAAGACCAGACAAGACTATCTCTGTGCTTTGATATAGCAGTTCATTTAAGAATTAGTATGTAATTTGATTGGTGATCACAAAATATTGCTTGTACCAGCGTTTCAGTAGATCCAAGAAGGTCAAATGGTAGACCAAATAAGTTGCAATAACATCTAAGATAAAAGAATTCATTATCCCCCCCCCCCCCCCCCCCACCCACACACAAAAAAAAACACCTCATTTAAGCAGACAGGAAGCAACATCTATAGCCCGCACAAACTAATTTGGGATTGAGATGTAGGGGAGCTTTGAGTAAAGCACCAAATGAGGCATCAGCCACTTCCAGAAATGTTTCCTATTTGAATACGGATTAACACTGAATTAAATAATCACAATTTTATCACAACACATGTAGCAAAATATTGTTGAATGCATACCTTAGTTTCCTTCTTTTATTCGCAGAAGCAGTTCCACATCCAGCTCTATAACTAAGTTTATGAGTTGGAACTATGTCATTGGGTCTAAGGGCAGGTCTCTCCTCCTCCCTGTCAACGAAGTTGGAAATAAAAGCTTCTCTTCGTATCTTTTTAGCTTCTTGCAACATGGGAACTTCATCTGGAAATAGCACCTTCCATCTCCTGTACGTAGAACAATTGAATAAGAAACAAATCTGGATAGCACCTAGAGTATATTCTAACTTCAAAGCCACAAATAAGACAACATCCTCGCACCAACGAAAAGAATACACAAGCAACACATTCAACCATAACCATAAACGTCCATACCTCCGGCATTGGTTATCAGTGCGTGGAGGAACGCAAGCAGCAACCTTGGACCAGGAATATCCATGTTCATCTATGGCTGATTTTAACTTCAAATCCTCCTCTTCTGTCCACTCATCCAACTTCAAAGAAGGATCTAAGCTATTGACCCATCTGAAACAATAGCAGAAATAAAACTCAAACGATAAGAATGATAACAGCTTTTTCCACCTTAATTGCCGAATCAGACAGATAGTAAATACCTTTCTCTACATTGTACATGAGTCCTCCCTGGTACATATTGAGCTATCTTCTTCCAAATTGGAGCTCGACAAGGCACAGATTGACCTATATTCCTCCAAGATTTAGGGTGAAAGAGCATCACAGCAACTTTCAATCGTTTGTCTTCATCAGCACTCCATTTACCGCACCTTTTCCTTGTTGGATGAAGTGATTTGATCCACCTGGGAGTTTCAAATAAATTCACCAGCTTAACTCAGAGATACATCAGGGAGAACCAAATCGCAAATTGCTTCTAAAACATTGAATAGAAGAAATATGTAAAAAGCAAACTGAAACATGAATAACATTTGGGATTCAGAAGCCTCAGATTTAACTATGCCTTCCCTTCTAATTCTCCTACTCTGAAGATCCTTTGGATGAGATACGTACAACATAAGTATTAGTAATATACAAAACATTGAAGTGTTCGCTTTCCTCCAACCAATAAAACCTTACCTAAAGGTACCTACATAGTCACAGAAGGAATTGTTGTCAATCATTGATGAAACAGCAGAAGACAAATTCAGTTACATAGTGCATGTTTAATTTGTCATGACGCACTTTTAAAGCCGAAGAGAAGCAGTAAATTTATAGATCCTACTCTAGAACCTAGATACTGGACCTACGTAAAAGGTGGTGGCCAATCACAAAACACCAATTCAAAGTTCTACAAAAGTAGTACCGAATACAGAATTATGAAGAAATTATCACTTCTACAGAAGTAGTGTGTATGATGATATAATACATCATGCGAACCATTGAAGTAGCTAGGAAAAAAAGGAATGATACGAAACCACTATGAGGAGAAGACTGACCTATTGGAGCACTGTGTACCTGTCCGGCCCTCAATTACAGAAGCAACAAGCTGCCAGTTACTCTCACCAAAAGTCTCCACAGCAGCACAGAGTTTAATATCCTCCTCCTCTGTCCATTCCCGCCTAAGGATTGAAGCATTCAGACTCCTCTGATAATGTGATAAGCACTGAAACGGAGTCCTACATACTCCTAATGATGCAGAAATATCAATCCAGTTACTCATTTCATTCCGCTGGACAGCATGCAAAAGGGCCTTTTCCTCTAATATATCCCACTCTTCATGTTTAATTAAAGGGTCTTCCCAGTTCAACCACCTGAAGGGATGTAAGAAAGAGGATAAGTGACCATTCAACTAATGATAGCAGAAAAATCAAATTCAAAGCACCTTAAACACTTAACTAATGATAACAGAAGCACCACTAAGAAGGCGCGATTAGGTATGCCCATTAATGCACATATCAATCATAGGACTTGCAGCAGCTAAAACTTTGTTTGGAAGGAGGAGACCACGCAGGATCTCTTAAGGTACATAAGATCGGATTTTAGAATCAGTAAACGTGCAATTATAATGTTACGTTTAAGTGTATGTGGTTATTTCTGTTCATTAAATGCTCATGAGATTCATGGCATATCCATTATATACAATATGTACACTTCCAAAAGGTAATAAATAAACCAAACTTCTCAATGTTTCCGGATCGCAAGACTACATATTAGGGTAGTAAACATCTGACTGTAGTATTGAATATTTAAGATCATTCTGAGACAGTAACGATGTTAAATTAATAGTATATGTATGTTCATGTTTATTGGTATATTCGTACGACTAGTCGCATATCCCTTAAATGTTTAACAAAGCTTATATTCTCATTAAATTAGAAAACCTAACTTGTGATCCTATTCGATCCTTGATCCCATCATTTTTAGGCTCTACTAATCCTGAACTTGGATGATCGACAATTAGGCATGCAGTTCCGACAGCTTGGCTAGTCATAATTCAGCAAATGTTCTCCATAACTTATCATAGGTCAAAAGGACATGATTCCCGATACTCATATTACAATTAATAGGAACAGCAAAAATCAAATTTTTAATATAATTTTCCATATACAAGAATGCATAGAACTGGACAGATGCCCAGCAGCAATATTCTGATTCAAGTATGAAACGCTACCTATGCGAAGAAGGTATATAACTATTTTATAAAGGGAAAAAAGGTACTTTAAATCTACCTCGATTGACATTCAGCACCAGAACGACCAGGAATATACATGGCAGCTACTTGATCCCAATTGACCTTGGGTAGAAATAACCTCATGGTCTCAGGGGTAATCACAACGTCCCTGATTGAGGCAATAAGGCCATCAAGATCACCAGATTCTCCGGAACGTCCATCCTCATTACTGCAAAAAAGTTTGATAAGACTAAATGGTCCCATAAGAGCAAATTGGTAGCAAACATGGCGCATTTTCCAGAAACAAGGTAAATAAGAACAATCAGTCAAGTTCCAAATCACAAATTTTTCAAAAGAAATTCCACTTGTTAGGGTATGTTCATTTCTCCGGACACTTTCTAGTTTCCAGTTATTGATGAGAGTATTTCAATATTTTGAATAGATCTTATTGATAAAACCAGTCATAACCAAATGCCCTCATGTTCCAACGTCCAAACTTCAACTTCAAATCTAATGATATATAATGAAGGGTGGGGAAAAAGTAGAAGAGAGAACTGAGTAAGAATTAGGTCCAGCATCAATGAATATTCTTCAAACCAACCTGCATACCATTTGTAATTAACTAAGAATGATAATCCCCAATCACCATAGCATTTTTTATCTCCATACAGGAAGCCAAGTTGGTAGTGAATAAGAGAACAGCACAAAGAGAAAGGATGGAGATGAAGGGCTCCGAGTGGCAGAACAACACTCTAAGACTGGGGAGAAGAGAGTGAAAGTCAAACATTTGACAACATTAAGCTCTACTGGTTGAGTTGAAGAAACCTAAGACAATCCTCTAGAACGGTACAAAAGAAAATTAAGTTTCAAAAAATATTAACTTCACTTCTTGGACACATGATTTTCTAATCCTGCTATATAGAGACTTTCAGTATAACATCACCTTCAAAACACTACTTTATTAGAAAAGCATTTGCACATGTAAATTTCTTTATAAAAATCTGATAATCTCATGCTGTCAAACAGCCAATCCTAATATTCAGATTTTAAGCTAAACGTGTAAAATTAAAGAACTGACATTATCTCTTCTCACGCAAATAATCAAAATATATAGATATAAAAGGACCACAAATTATTGCATTGGTGCTGGCACCAACAATTAGAAATATCCACTTCAAACTTAAAAGACAGAGATATAAGGCATCCAGTCTCTTTATAGTTACCACCCAATAAGGACCACTAAGATAAACATCAACAATAATACTAAAGATATCAACTTTTATCCAAGTGCTATCACCCGCTACACTTGCTCAAAGTTGTTGAAAGTTAAAAGAATTCTCCTTTTTTTTTTTACAACCAATTCAACAAGAGTTTTCTCTCTTCTATTTTCAGTTTTCACAAAATTGCAAGTAAAAAGGGAAATTGAAATTGGAAATTTAGGTGAAAGAAAGGATTAGAATTACATATTATTTGGGTAACATATGATCCTCGTATAAAGGCTGGAAAAGGCTGGAAAAGAATAATTGTGAATAAGTTGCAACCACATATTCCAATCCATACAAATAAGGAAAGTCATATATTTGAATACTATGATCAGTCAATCAAATAATTGTGAATAAGTTGGAACCATATATTCCAATCCATACAAATAAGGAAAGTCATATATTTGAATATAATGATTAGTCAATCAACTTTAATCTTATCGGCTTGATGAATTAAAGTTTGATGATACATACAAGCATCGTCCAAAAGCATTGAGAAAACAGGATATCACTGAGAGACAAGGTTTATATAAAGTTGACAGTATTAGAACTCAGGGTTGTTGGTCGTTTTTGTCCCTGTGAAAGATCATGGATATGTGCATGCAAGTGCTGTATGAGCAAGAATCTTAATTAGAAAGAAGTGTTTCCTCATTAACATATCCTCTGCAGGGAGAAATGTACCTTAGTAGATCCACAGAGCGTTGAAGCAGCATCTCTTGAAATTGTTGTTTCACTCCTTTTGCAAGATTCTCTCTCTCTTCTTTAGACCACTCCTTACGACTCAATGAGACAGCAAAATGTGTCAATGCCTCCCTAACGCTAGCAACATGAGAATTCTCGGGAGGTCCATAATGTATTGCAGATAACTTCTTTCCCTGGTTAAGAACAAATTTAGGAACAGAAGATTACATATAAATGTATCCCATACAATTATCTTTTTTAAGTACAACTTGTATCACATATAATAACACCATCGTTTGTGATTGAGGCGTTATTATTATTGTTGTCTTAATGGATAATTTCAAGCTTTCAGAAGATGCAATCCATTTTTTGTACATATTAAACAAGATACAATACTGATATACCAGTAAAAAAAACAGATAAAATATTCATATAAAAGAACTTTAAAATAAGTTATACATGATACGATCAATCAGCTAGAATGAGAAAACAAAGGAAGGTAAGGCTGTCAGTGTCCAACAAGCAATTAATTACCACAGACAAGTTGAAAAAACAGGCAATTGATGACATATTTGGCACCATGTCACCAGAAAAACAAATTTTGACAATGAAAATGCTGCTCAACTGTGTCAATAGTCATCAATTAGAGCCATGGAAACAGACTATATGCAACGTAGACAAGGTGGCAAACGTCCAATCCCCAAGTGGGTAGACAACAGACATATTAAATCACAGTACAGTTAGTTTTCATATTTTTTTCTTGAAGGCATTGCACAAAAATCACTAGCACTTTCTCTCTCCTTGAGAAGATACAACTTAAATAACCTAATACTTAAACAAATAAGATTAACAAACACTGAATTCTCCTGAACATATCAACATCCATTTTTACAATCCATAGTCTTAAAATACACCAAGACATAAACTAACAGGTTTCAACAATACAAATTACATCACGCCATTCTCGTATATATCATAAACAATTTATATTAAGCTGTTCAGATTAGACCATTAAGTAAAATTTCGCCCATCAATCCAAATCTAGTTGAGAAAAAAGCAATTAATTGATGTTTTCACTTTTTACAGCACTTAACACGTCAAATTACTCTTCCATTCTTGTATATTCATGTTGTCCCACGCAAAGTAATCTTTTGACAACAACTTAAGAACCTCGTACAGTTTTGTTTTTATATTCTCTGGCCTAAAAGAATGAGCAAATAAGCAAAAAACAAACTGACACGATAAGACACATAAATGAACCCGGCATCTCATGTCATGTGCTCATGTGTTCCTTATCCTAAATTAGTCCATTCAGGCAGCAACATGAGGTGGAACTAACCGAAGTAATAATTAATCAAGCTTGCAATTAATTGGCAGATTGTAATGCTGACCTTTGAACTGCACTTTTGTTTTGGCAAAGAAATTAACTGGACACGTGCATCTCTTTTCTGTGACAAGGCCCGCCCCATTCTCTTTCTGCTAGCGATCTGAAAGCCTTTAAGGATCTTCACCCGTTCCTTCAATTTTTTCAACTCTTCCATTCTTGCTTCAATCTGCATCATTTTATCCCGGATAATTTTCTGACAAGACCTATTCTTCTTGATGGCCTCAACAAATGCCTGTGCTGATTTTGGGAAGCAAAAAGAATTAACTGACACTGCTGTGTTTTCAGCACCGGAATCATGCCACTCAATGAGATTCTGAGAACTAGCAATTTCATTACTGCATCCATCAGAAATCTGTATGGTTCCATCTACACAAGCGGGAAACCCTTCCCCAGCATTAGTTCTCTCTACAAAGAAATTATTGGAAGATTCCTTTTCCGAGGTAATGTTAGTGACACCAACCTGCTCAAAGTTATTCAAAGGACTCTCCTTTCTTCCCTTTCCAGAATCTGTATAAATTATACGATAGTAACCAAAAAAAAAAAAGATAATACTTAGTAGCAAATAAGAAATACATAAAAGATAAAGGATTTAAGTTGTATGCACCATTTTAACCACATTACCCGTTAATGCTTATCAACAGATTTACCTATACTTGCCTAATAAGTGACCTAATTGTGCAAAATACTTTTCTTTTTACATAGTCAGTGCATAGAACTTAAACTCAAAGATCAAACATTCTTGATATCCAACAGACGAGTAAAAAAAAATCATCTTTTGCAATGTAGACACTAATCATGACAAAATACTTTTAACACTAGTTCGGTTCATATTAAATAGGAGTACTAGCAATGAGTATAGACTTATATTTATAATTCTAAGCAGACGAATGAGGGCAGAAAATCTAAATCAACAAACAGAAATAATCTACCGTCATTGTAGGCCGCAAAGCGGCGCTGAATAGCACGTAGGGTTTCGAAATCATCGTCGTCATCGTCACCCTCCGAGCCAGGAGGAGGAAGCGAGCACAACGGTTTTAGAGTTAGAGGCTCACGAAGCTCTGTCGATAGGGCGAATCGCTCTTGTATGCTACGAACCAACTCGATGTCATCGTCTACGTCATCAACGTCTGTACCGGAGGGGGTTACGTCGTCCGCACCGGTGACGTGGCCACCGCCGATATCGCCGGTGGAACATGAAGGTTGGAGGTCGTCAGTTTCCTTGCCGGCGAGAAGGCAAGCTTTCTTAAGGGCTTTCATGTCCTCTTGAAAGCCGTCATCGGAATCGCTGCCGGAGAAATCATCATCGTCGTCGAAAGCCATTAGGAATTAGGGATTCAGGTAATCCGAGGGATTGGGAATGTAGTGTTAGGGCTTTAAATTCAAGAATTGTTAAGTTGAATGCAGATGGCGGTAACAACTACTGTTCGGAATGTTGGAGACTAAATGGACCAGAAAAGTGTGCCAAAATTTGGGCTCAATATCAGAGAGCCCACAAACTTCCTTAAATAGAATCTATTCGATAAGTGGGCCTACAATCTTGAAACCTCAGCCCTGTAATCGATATATGAAGTGGGCTTAGAGTAACTTCGGCAGCCTCTTTATTTGTAAAAGTTGCGTGGGGTAGCCACTTTTTAAAGTGGTATTTACTTTTTATCCAGTATTTTTAATGCTGGGCAAAATTAGCCACTGATCTATTAAAATTAATATGAAAAGACGGTGTTACCCTTTCTTCTATCTCTTGACCCCGCCTTGCCCAGCACATTTTTTCTTCGCTTCAGTGTCAAAAGTCTTTGCTCTTTGTTCCTTTTCTCCTCCTCGAGATCGACCAGGTGAGCTCATCTCACTAGCCAACCCAGTTCCCTCTCTCCCTCTTTCTTGGGGATTAGGTGACGGACTATACAATTCAACATCGATAAATGAGAGATACTGCACTCTTAAGAAATCTCAAGCTTTTCTATCTGGTTTGCTACTTGGTTTGTCGTTTATGTTTTCTTTGGTCTAGAACAGACTCTAAAGTAGAGTCTTAATTAGTAGCAATTAAAAAAAGAAATAAGGTAAACAAGAGATTTTAATTAAGAACCAGAAGTTTCCTAAATTTCAAAATGAAAGTTAAGGACAATAGGTCCTAAACTTACAGTTACAAGTTCAAAAGTTAAGGACAATAGGGCCTGAAGTCCTGAACTTAGACTAACAAGCTCAAAAGTTAAGGACAATAGGTCCTGAACTTAGGCTAAGAAGCTCAAAAGTTAAGGACAATAGGTCCTGAACTTAGACTAAAAAGCTCAAAAATTAAGGACAATAGGTCTCGAACTTAGACTAACAAGCTCAAAAGTTAAAGACACTTAGTCCTGAACTTAAAGTTACAAGTTCAAAAGTTAAGGACACTTGGTCCTAAACTTAGACTAACAAGCTCAAATATTAAGGACAATAGGTCCTGAAGTTAGACTTACAAGTTCAAAAGTTAAGGACAAGTAGTCCTTAACTTAGAGTTACAAGCACAGAACTTAAGGATAGGTGGTCCTGAACTTCGAGTCCAAATTCAAAGTTAAGGACATGTAGTCCTGAAGTCCTGAACTTAGAGTTGCAAGTTCAAAAGTTAAGGACACTTGATCCTGAACTTTTATGAGCAGAAGGGTGTTTTCGTCTGGGCAGGTAAAGTTTATTAAAGCAGTGGCTAAAGACTAAAAACAATTTAAATAGTGGCTTAAAAGTAAATACATATGTTATTAGTGGCTAACCGCGCACTTGAAAGCTTTTGACAAAGTTAGCTGCTCGGCAAAAACTATAAATAGCTGTCTAGCCCACAATTGCACGTTACAATTTGGCGATGGATCGCCACTTCTCTGGCATTCATTTATTGACTCTCCTTCTTGCACTAAGCAATTTCTTCAATCGGATTATTGTGTCCGTTGGAAAGTTTTGATTGTACTTTTTTTTTTTTTTTTTTTTTGTGAAATTGAAGAAATCATGAGTTTCCCAAAGAAGAGTACGAGTTTCTGAAGGAGATCGAAATTGGCCCTCAAAATCTAGGTTGTTATGTCAATGGCACCTGGAAAGCTAGTGGCTCCGTCATCTCCAATGTTATAGCCTGTTTGGCCAAGTGGGAGAAATCAACTTATTTTGAGAAGTGATTTTTTTAAAAGTGCTTTTGAAGAAAGTACTTTTGGAGAGAAGCAGTTTGTGTTTGGTTAATTACTCTGAAAAGCACTTTTGAGCAATAATTTGTGTTTGGCCAAGCTTTTCATAAAGTGCTTTTATGTATCAAATTACGAATAAGGACATGAATATATTTACTTTATAGTTAATATTATAAGTAAATAAATTATCTCAAAAATTTGTTATTACATGCAATAATTAAATCTTTTCATTTTATTTAAGTAAAATATGGAAATAAAATTAAAAAGTACTTAATTCTTTTAATATAAGTTAAATATATTAAAAATCATTCAACAAATATAAAAGCATCCACCGCTAAAGTCACTATATATTAGAAAGTTATCCTAAAAATAAGAAGAAATATTTATACATTAATATCTAAGTATTAGATTTAACAGTTATTTTGGTATATACTATATTTTGTTAAAGGCATTTTTGGTAAGAAGAAAAGTCAAAACTGCTTCTGCTTCTTCCCAAAAGCACTTTTTTTCCTCAAAAAAGCTTGGCCAAGCAACCTCAAGTTAGGGAAAAAAAGCACTTTTGACCTCTTGAGAAGCTTGGCCAAACAGGCTATTAGTCCCGCCAACAACCAGGTTCTTAATTTTTAACGATTTTAAGTTCTTTTTTTTAATATTTAAATTGTACTACTGGTTAATTTAAAATTATTTTTGTGGATACAGACTATTGCTGAAGTTGTAGAAGCTTCTCCCTAATATTATGAGGAAGGCATGCAAGCTTGCTCCGAAGCGGCAAAGATAATTTGGTTCAAAATTCACCTGCTAAAGTAGCCGTTATGATCTTGATGAGGAAGGTTTTATTCTCCTTAGTTTCTGCCGCCAGAAAGGATCCTAAAAATCCTTTTCTTTGTAACATCTTTCTTTTATGTGTATTATTAAGGAACAATTGTAGTTTGGTTTAGAACAAATATCTGGTATACAGTTTTAAATAATTTGATTTCAGGCCCACCATTACTATATATTTACATGGATATTTATGTATTTCTTTCGGTGAAAATAAATTTGAATATTAATATATTATAAAATATATACAAAATAGACTGTCACTATACAATTTATATACAATAGACTGTCACTATACAAAATAGACTGTTATTGTACAAAAAATACTAAATAGACTGTCATTATACAAAATAGATTATCACCATACAAAATATATACTAAATAGATTGACACTATACAAAATATATATGATAGAATATATGAGTCCACCAAACTATATAGAGACCAGGTCCTATATAGGGTTCCACAAAGGCTAATGCAACAGTAAGTAAATGGAACAGGGAACTTTTATAGGGAAAAATCCATGTTCAAGGGGATAAAAAAAAACACGACCTACACAGGTAGGATTCAACTTCACTATGAGCAATCTTTAGATTACAACATATGCAACCTAGGAATTAAACTCTTAATCCCTCACTAACTAGTAATACACCTATTACAAGCCACTTTGCAATACACCTATTATAAAGACTTCAACTCATGACTAACTCTAGTCACGACACAAACACTAAAGGTTTATGGTTTACAAAGGGTTCCTAATTAAAGCTTTTAGACAAGCAAAGTAGGAATTACAATGAAGAACAATTACAAAGTTACAACTCAACTAAGGACATGCAAGAGACTTGTTGTAGGAACCGATCCGTAGTGGTGTTGTACTTTATTCTTATTGCACTTGAGAATTGAATGCTTGATTGTCGTATGCTTAGAATGCTTGAATGAATTCTCAAGTATTCAAGTGATGTTTTGTTGTAATGTTTATTGTTAATACAACTTGGATGACATCACTTGAATGATGTAATCACTTGGATGGTACAAGGTCCTTCCCAATGAGAAGTGACTGCTGCACTATGCTACACTGTTTACATGTTCAGTGCAGGCAGTCACTTTCCAGCTGTAGAAAGTTGACTTCGTACTGTTGTCAGGGGAACCCAAAGGGATCAAGTCCCTGTGTTGATTCTTTATCTTCTGAATTCGTAGCAACTCACATTAGTTTATGTCCGTTGATTGAGTTGTGTACCAAGTGTATCAGGTTCTTTATCTGGTTCTTTGACAATAAGTTTGTTAGATCATCAAAATATGAAGCTAAGGTACTATAAACCCATCAATTTCCCCCTTCTTGATGATGACAAACTTAAAAAATGAAAATTATATTTAGAGCAACAAAAACCAGATAAAGTAACAGGAACTTCACAAGTTCCCCCTGACTTTGTACTTCCCCTTTAATCAGTTCCTGCTTCTTCTTAACTCCTTCAATTTGTTCAATTTATCTAACTTCCCCCTTTTGGCATCATTAAAAACACACAAACAAGCAAATATCATAAAGAAGTCTAGCCTAGTTAACGCATGACACTTGTGTGCAGACAAACATGATAGAAAAGAGAAGCAGAAACACATAAGCATTTACAGCAAAAGAAGGAGAGTTTTCATTAAACAATGAAAAACATAAGCATTTGCCTTTACAGCAAAAGCAGATTTGGACAGTTTACATGGGAGCAGTACTAGTGATTTCCATCCAGAAACAAAAAAAAAATAGAAACAACCACCGCAACATCATCAAAACACTATCAAGAGAGATAAACTGGACACTGGTCACTGAGAGATATGCCTAGGGGACACTATAGGAAGAGGGCTTGAAAGAGGCAGCAAGTGTGTTGAGAATGAGATCTATCCGAGCATTGGCGAACATTTGCTCAGCGAGCAGTTTCTCCCTCAGGTTCTCAACTTGTTGCCTGAGATTAGTATTCTCCTTAGTCAGACTCTGGATTTGAAAAACTAGAGGACCCTGGTGCCTCTCGGGCCTAACTGAGCTGAGTCTCTAATATGACATTCTTTGCTTTTAATTTTCTGATCTCTTCAGTAGCACCGTTCTGAGCATTTATAAGCTGGGAAATCGTTGAAGTGCTTCTTACCCATCCAATTTTGTCGATACACTCACATTCCTCTAGATTAGTTCTAGAGATAGTCTGCTTCTTGGTCCCCATCTTAGGCTGTCCCAAAGGCACGTTAAAGAATTTGAAGACACGCGTGAGGAGAAATCCATAGGGAGGCCATGATTTCCATCTTTGAATGCTGCCACCTTTTGCATATGCTCAATCATTATGGCTGGCAGATTAACAGTTTGGAACTCATCCAGTGCTTCCATCAGATATAGACCAGCCTTGGATGTGATGGATCTCCTCTCAGTGCGAGGAAGCAGGACCTTGTTCACCAACTCAAAAAGCAGCCGATAA